TCCAGGAACATTAAACAAATTAAATTAAATTAAGTCCATACTTCGGGCCGGGATCGAGTACAGACGTGCTTTTTAATGAACGCTGTTTAAGTAAAGAACTGGTAACTTTGAAACGCGAGGCGGGTCCAGGCATAATTCAAACTTATATTCGAAGCTCAAGCGCAAGTTTTCTTTATCAAGACACAAATAACGCGCGGGGATCTAATTAAATTGTGGGGAGGTCAAGGCAGCAGTGTAGGAATCTCCAACCAACAGGACAACAAGGGCGTAAACATTGGTAGAATTGATACCTAGAATTAACCCTAAAAAGGATCCCGGTATGATCAATATACCAATAATAAGGAGAAGATCGAAGCTTACCTCAGGGGTCACAGAGAGCAGGGATTTTGGGGGTGATACGACTCACTGAAGAAGGGGGAAACATATCAAAGAACCGCAAGCTATAACGGGAACCATAGATCACTACGACCGCAAGTGAAGGCAGTAAACATGATATGGGAGGTAGAAGAAGAGGAAGAACTCCGGAAAACAAGGGTGCTGGGGGAATACGAGGAAGCGAGAGGAGCCGCAGGAAGCTGAGCGAAATATTAGAGCAAAAGCGCGGAAGATACCCAGGCATCATATTAAGTTACCTCAATGCGCAACTAGGCAGACTAGACGGAAGGGAAGGGGAGGAACAAAGGATAGGCAAAATGCTCAAGCACGAGCAAAACAACGTGAATGGTAGCGAGCTTGGGAACATGGTACATGAAGGGGGACCATCTTGGAACAGGATCGCCGAAACGCTCAAGGAAGCAACACGGGAAAACACTTGGAGGACATAAACCGCCCATGGCACCGAACAGGAAGCAAGCCATGGACAACCACAACAGACCGCTGAAGAGGTTTGAGCAAAACCCACACAAACCTGAAAGAAAGAAAGAGCTAAGGCTGGCCCAGGAGGAGAGAAACAGAGACTTTGTACATGAGATCAAGGAATTCGCCGAGTTTGCAAAGAACATCGCTAAGCTTGACCCGATGGAGATGTATAAGCACATAGAAAACAGAAGGAGGAAACAAGGGGAAGAAAGAATGACAGCATGAGAGAAGCTCCTGAAGGAGGAACAAGGAGCATAGGTCCAGCGAATGGAGGAAAACGATTACTGGTCACTCACGCCACCTTCCACGATAGAAGAAATAATGGAGATAATAGGAAGACTGAACAAAGGGAACATGCCAGAGCAGGATAGGGTCCAGGACGAGTTGCAAGAAGACGCATCAGAATGGCTAGTAAAGGACCTACATGAATTAATTCAGGAGACAGAACAGATTCCCATCCCAAAAGTCAAACAAACTATTACAGGAGAATCTCGCTATGCAGGACGAGATACAAGAATACGTAACCTACTTACTACAGTGCCTAGAGGCAAGCCATGCAAGACACTAGGAGGGCAGGAAACAAAATATGGCCTGACGAAGGCCTTCGACCAAATGAAGCATGAAGCAGTAGCCACTTCTCTGACACTGTTAGGACAGTCCAAATTCCTACCCAATAGAATTATAAACGCGTGCCCTAGGGAGTATACTAGTGTACAATGGTTTGGGAAGGAGATCGAGCACCAAATGGAAACCAGAGGAATCAAACAAGGATGTCCGCTCTCCCCAAGGCTCTTCGCGATACCACTGTATAACGCCATAGAGGAACTTCGGCACAGATGGCCAATTATAACTTACTAACGACACTATTGGCGTTCGCGGACGAGCTACTCGTAATCACGGATAATATAGAAGACCTCAAGGACTTCATCCAAACCAGCCAGGCATACCTGGAACTGGCAGGCCTACAAATAAACAACGAAAAGAGCTACATTATTATAACCCACATAGCAGACCTATATACATTGCATATACCATGTACATTCCACGTGGGATATTGTATATCCATAGAATGTGGAAAAGTATGTCGCAAATGTCCGATGTATGTGCATGGGATATAAGTTTGGCAGACTTCACATAATACATAGTATATACGTTTTGGATGTCTTATGTATATGCACGTATATGCATCAGACATGCTATGTATATTGGTATACTGACAACTGGATATATCATGAATATTCCTGTAATATGCAAAAGATGTTCAATAGGATATTCTATGTATGTTGTATACATTCAGAATGGATGTTCTATAGAGATTCCTCTAACATTCGGGAAGTTTACTAGCGTCCATACCAGAGCTGGGCAGTATTCGATTTTGTAAATACTTTTTAGTATTCAAATCCTTTAAAGTATTCAAATACTTTGTAATTAAATACTTTTATGGAAGCAGTATTTGTAACTCAAATACTTTCACAAATATTTAGTCAATTTCGAAAGAAAATTCAAAGGGCTGTAACTTTTGAACTAGTAGCCCAATCTTGGAACTGTTTGAAATTATGGATTCTACAGGCCACATTCTACAAGAAAATTTTTTTTCCCGGTCGATCTGAGACAATTTTTTTTTCGGGGCTCAAAAAAAGGCAGTGTATAACCTTCCTTTTTTACCAAAAATCGACTGCACCAAAATTTCTCGGGAAAACACTTTTTCTTATTAATTTTGGTGCGTAGAATCCAAAACAATTCGTACTTTTTCGATCAGACTTCTCAATCAAAAGTTATAGACTAGAAACCAATTTCGAAAGAAAATTCAAAGGGCTGTAACTTTTGAACTAGTAGCCCAATCTTGGAACTGTTTGAAATTATGGATTCTACAGGCCACATTCTATAAGAAAATTTTTTTTCCGGGTCGATCTGAGACAATTTTTTTTTCGGGGCTCAAAAAAAGGCAGTGTGTATAAACCTTCCCTTTTTACCAAAAAACGACTGCACCAAAATTTCTCGGGAAAACACTTTTTCTTATTAATTTTGGTGCGTAGAATCCAAAACAATTCGTACTTTTTCGATCAGACTTCTCAATCAAAAGTTATAGACTAGAAACCAATTTCGAAAGAAAATTCAAAGGGCTGTAACTTTTGAACTAGTAGCCCAATCTTGGAACTGTTTGAAATTATTACTTTTACTCCCCTTAAATTTGTATATAACAATAGAAATATAAAAAAAGCTAACCCCATACAAAGTATAACTTGATTTTTTAAGTACTATTAAGACTTTTATCTAGTATACTATTTTACATTTTTAATGTATTTGAGTCACAAGTATTTGAATACTTTTTATATACTTATATACTTTTTATAGTATTCGAATACATTCTAAGGTATTTGAATACTTATTTTTTAAAGTATTTGAATACTTTTCAATGTATCTGTATCTAGTATTCGCTTGTGCTGGACGTAAAAGTATTTAGTATTCAAATACCTTTGATTTGTGTAAAGTATTTACTATTTAGTATTCAAATACTTTTTGAAAGTATTCTGCCCAGCTCTGGTCTATACCTTCATAAATAAATTCTTTTCACGGAGTGGAGCTTTTTGTTTATTAAGTCTCTTAGTGTACAATGGAAAATGTGCTTAAGAAATTATTATTGTTTTATTTAACACTGTAGTCTTGAGTCATTTTGATCGTGTTCTTGTTCAACACTATAATAGCGCGAGTTCATAACAAATAGGTTGCTAACATACCTGCCATTCTTGTCCTTATATTAATTCCCATCCAGTCTTTACATCTCACTAACACATATTTGCAACTTTAGATCATGCACACACGAAATAAAAATCATTACTTTCACTGTCAAAATTAGACAAACAAACTCATTAATAACTCGCAGAATAACACTCCTGATTTTAGAAAAATGAGCTGTATTTGCAATAGCACCTTACTATCTTCATCGCCGTAATTCACAGAAAATGAGGCGCTAACGTTTGTAACGTCGGTAATACAGAACACGCATGTATCAAATCCAAAATGCATATACATAACATATTAGCACATCCAAAATGTACATTTATAGAATATCCATACTAAACATAAAATACATATGCCTATCCTATAATGAATATACATAAGATGCACAGGATATTCCCTGTACATTATGGATTTAAAATGTATATACATAAGATATCGAATGCTATGTGGGTATTCTCGTGACTGCTCAAGAAATGTTCTGAATTTTGGCAAAAAAATTATTCAGTAATATCTTATGTACCTACTCGCTAGTTCTTCTCAAAAGTTGCATCAAATACATTATTCTTCACTAACTGGAAGAAATTATTTAAAAAAACCTGCAATGGAAACCTTTGGATGACTGTTGTTCCTTAATTGAACATTCAGCATAATTCTAATGTATTGGGACATCAAATCCACGAAGAATTGACCCCTAGCCTGTATCTCCCAAAGCATAACAGATGTAAAGCGTGTTGTTTTTGTACAGAATTAGTAAAAATCTAACTTTTCGAATATATTTAACATACATTTTATTTTCCCTTATTTATAGAATTTAATAATCATTTTTGTAGAAAGTTACTCTTCAACTTCTAATGTTTCAGTTACTTTTATGCATTGTCAAATTGCAATATCAATTGCATACTGTGGGACCTTCACACTGCTGTAGCCTTTAGACGACTTACTAAACCATGGACCACAACGAAACGTTTAGTTTGTAATTCATTAAATCGAATTGGGTATTAATGAAATGTTTATAAATTAGAAAAGAAGAAAATCTTCGCTTTATGTATGTTTCTGTGTTGTGACATTGTCAACGCAGGTGCGTTATTGGTCCCGAATTTACTTATCATTTTTACACATTGTACAGTTAGTGAACTGCTAGAAAGTTTTACTGATCAATAAATAAAAGTGATGACAATTTAAACTACCACAACAAAAGTTTGTTTATGTAAATTTGATGTGTAGTAGCTAGTTTAACTTTCTCTAGTCTAGTGGTTTTGTTTTTATTACTAATTGTCGGGCGATTAAACTCTTTTGTGTTCAATGAAAGAGGCCGATGGCCTTTCACTGTTTAAAGGCGCAACTAGACGACCCACTTGTTAACGTTTTGCCCTTTTTTAATCCATATTCTTTTGTTGCAGAAGTATGACCAAGTATTGGCATTCTCATGGCTGCGGTGGTTAGTCATGCCATGCGACGTTATTCACCTTCGCCACCTGGCAGCAGCTTCTCCTCACACTGCCTAGGGGTAAGTGAGCAGTTTTAGGTGACCGCTAGTGATCGACAATTTTAGGGTGAGAGTTCGTATCCAGAGCCTTGGCCGCAAGGAGAGATAAGCGAGAGCTCGCTTTCGAGATCCATGCGTTACGCCGAACCATGGCTTTACGGAAGTATGCGAGCGCCCGGTGGGTTCCTCTTGGCCCCGGCCCTCGTACTCTGTTCGTGCTCGGAGTACCTTTCCGGTACCAAACGGTCGAGCAAGAAAGGTCCAAGTATTTGTAAAAAATGTAAAGGCACCCGCTTACCGTTACCGGCAAGCGAAACGCTAAGAGGAACCCCAAAATTTGGCACGGTACGATGTTACCCCACCGGTACAAACATAGCCCCACCCTCAAGTACAAATCGCGCTGGTACGGCAAGGGTGAGCACCCACACCCGTCCCTCCATTCTCCCATCGGCCGACCCGTACGAGTTAATGCGCCGCTCCAGGTTGTCGGCCGATAACGGAACAAAATTTACGATCCGTTCGTCGTCCCCCAGTCCGGCCCCATCTAGTAAAACAACACAAGTTCCTAAAGTACCGACGACGAATGGCGGACGCAAGTCAATTTTAGAATGTAACATAAATCCTTACGATCTCATGTCTGCAGATCGAGATAGTGCGAAAGATTCAAGTATAACCTTAGTGGGCGGACAAAGGGTACGAATTCGCCCACCCGACGTCGAACAAGAATATGAAGAAATAAAAGTACAACAGCAACCCGTTCGACAACCTAGTCAGATTCCAAAATTAAAAACCCCGCCGTCGTCGTCTAATACATCAAAAGGACAAACAAAATTGAAAGAAAAGGAATCTGATTGCAACCGGTTTAAATCTATATTAAAGAAACCCACAACTTTCAGTGACACGGATTCAAGCGGAGGCCCCGAGCGCAGCCCCTCACCTGCATCGAAAAGTGGGTCACACTTTTACCTACCGATGCCCATGAACACACCCAGGAAAAAAGTACAATTTTTAGTTGAAAACGAATTTGCCTCTCAAAATGATGATAGCGCAAAGGATGGGGTCTGCGACGAAGTTAACATATACGAAGAGGTGCCTCACCACGAGGAAGGTTAGTATAAAATGCATTTTGATGTAAATGTCAGTTGAAGGCAGGCTGCTATGGTATTTAAAGCGGCGAAACCTTGACCTTTCCCTCGTGTTAAATGTCTTTCTTTGTGTACCGGTCGTCAATTCATTATCCCAAGACATCGTCAAAACTTGGGAGATCCATTAGTCGATTTTCTCGAGGTTGTATTACTTTTCAACTTCAATCTGTGTGTCTATTAGCATAAAGAAGTTGTTTGCATTATGAATAAACGAATTTCAGTTTTTTTCTAACTTTCCTAACTTATGAATAACAGAATGAGTCGTTTTTGTTAAAAATTATTACTGAACAACACCATCAGAATGGAAATCATTAGTTCCACTTTTTTTAAGAAACGCAGCAAAATACGGCCTGTGGAGCGGAAGTAAAAACGAACCCATCGAGTGTATTGATGAACCGATCAGTTAAAGAGATAACACATCCTCCCCTTATCTTTCCGACCCTACACTTATCGAAAAGGTTGCCCATTACACAATAATCAAATTCACTTCAAGAGACCGTTTGCTTTTCCATGTTTCCAGCAAAAGTTTCATGACACTAAAAGGGCTACAAAATTTGAACTCAAACCCTAAACTAAACGAAAATACTGTAGTTATGTGTAGCATGCTGGGCAAAGAACTCAATTTCGCCTTATGATAGGAAAGATATGTAATAGTGACAGAAGACAACAGGAAGCACCATTATACAGGGGTACATAAATAACACTAATGGTAACAAAGTTGATTTGGAACCCTTACTCATTGGAACTAAGAGGTGGAGAGTGCTTGATCCTAGGCGTGCTGGACCTTACTTTTGCTTGCTCCTTGCAAAATAAGAATTATGGATACTCTCAATTTGCAGTCAATAGCCACACGCTCCCCAAATCAGCCTAAAAGCACCCATTATCTACTTCTCAGCAAATTGAGCCTGTGGGTCATAGTCACCCCCCCACCGAATTAATTATCTCCAGGAATACATTTCTTAAATTATGTTAGATTTGTTTATTGACTCACACAGTAAACCTCTCTCCGGCCAATTTTTATTTAGAATCTTATGGGCAAAATAGGCAAGCGTCACTTAGGTGGTCTATTTTGAATCAAAATGCTGCAAAGAAGACGTAATTCTTATTCGATTTTGTGAAAATGACACAAAATGAAAAAGAAAGTGGCAAATTTCAGCGTTCCCTTAAAAATTAATACCAGCAGCATAGGGGTATCAATGATACAGTTGAGAAATGTAGCTTAATTTGTCCCTATTCAACATAGAATTAACTTTCCAAATTTTGTTCCAAAGTAGACGCTATTTTTAATTGATTTTGTGCACATTTTCACACTCTTCAAACAAAATTAAAAAGGAAATGTTCAATTTCATCGTTCTCTTGAAAATTATTACTAGCAGCGTAGGGGTATGAATGGAAAAGGTGAGATAGCCAAATTTGTCCCTATTCAGATTTTAATTCAATTTCAAAGTTTTGTTGCAAAGAAGACGCTATGTTTCTTCGATTTTGTGCACATTTTCACATTCTTCAAACAAAATGAAAAAGGAAGTGGTGAATTTCATCGCTCCCTAATACCAGGAGCAAAGGGATAGCAATGGAAAAGTTTAGAAATGTAGCTTAATTTTCCCCATTAATTAAATTTTAAAGTTTTTTTGCTAAGATCACGTTATTTTTCTTCGATTTTGTGCACATTTTCATATTCTTGAAACACAATTAAAAAGGAAGTGGTCAATTTCATCGTTCTCTTGAAAATTATTACTAGCAGCGTAGGGGTATGAATGGAAAAGGTGAGAAATAGCCTAATTTGTCCCTATTCTGATTTTAAATCAATTTCAAAGTGTTGTTGCAAAGAAGACGCTATTTTTCTTCGATTTTGTGCACATTTTCATATTCTTGAAACAAAATTAAAAAGGAAGTAGTCAATTTCATCGTTCTCTTGAAAATTATTACTAGCAGCGTAGGGGTATGAATGGAAAAGGTGAGAAATAGCCTAATTTGTCCTTATTCAGATTGTAAATCAATTTCAAAGATTTGTTGCAAAGAAGACGCTATTTTTCTTCGATTCTGTACACATTTTCACATTCTTGAAATAAAATTAAAAAAGAAGTGGTCAATTTCATCGCTCCCTAATACAAGCAGCAAAGGGATAGCAATGGAAAAGTTTAGAAATGTAGCTTAATTTTTCCCATTCAACTATAATCAAATTTTAAAGTTTTTGCTAAGATGACGCTATTTTTGTTCGATTTGAGGCACCTTTTCACATTCTTGAAGAAAAATTAAATAGAAAGTGGTAAATTTCATCGCTCCCTTGACTATTAATAGTAGCAGCATAGGGATATCATTGGAAAAGTTGAGAAATGTAGCTTAATTTGTCCTTATTCAACTTAGAAAAAAATTTTAAAGGTTTGTTGCAAAAAAGACGCTATTTTTCTTCGATTTTGTGCACATTTTCACATTCTTGAAACAAAATTAAAAAGGAAGTGGCCAATTTCATCGTTCTCTTGAAAATTGTTACTAGCAGCGTAGGGGTATGAATGGAAAAGTTGAGAAATAGTCTAATTTGTCCCTATTCAGATTTTAATTCAATTTCAAAGTTTTGTTGCAAAGAAGACGCTATTTTTCATCGATTTTGTGCACATTTTCACATTCTTGAAACAAAATTAACAAGTTAAAAAGTAATCGTAANGAAGGAATTAACATTTATATTGAATCTCTTCGATCAGAACAATTTTAAATCTTCCTAGCGCAGAGTACCTTAACGGTCATAAATCATGTTATAATCAAGCTCTATACAGGGTGTAGCATCTGTAACAATTGTTCTTAACCGTTACGTAAACTTTGGAATTTCTTTTATGGTCACCGTCATTTATTGTTTGATAGTCGTTAGCATACCTATATTATAACGGGCGTCATCTATCGATGCATTTTTTTTGCACAGGCCACAAGGCGCATTGTTCGATTTTCTTTTCCGGAATTCGACTGCGGACGCCCTTTGGTTTGACACGTTAGTCAAACAGGGCGAAAACCATGTGGTTCTAATTGTAAATTCCAATAATAATTCATTTCTAGCGATTGGATCTGAATTAAGTGGATCGGTTCTGTATTGCTCTCCAGTTTGAAGGCTATATCTTGGTTTTCTCTTGATCTGTAAGTTAACCGACATGACTTTGAACGCGTTATTGTTTTGTTGGTACGGGTTTAATGTAGACCAAGGCCCTTCAGGCATTATTCCATCCAGTAGTTACCGAACCATGTGGATCGGGGTTTCGGATTTGTTTTGACTTGTTCTAGGTTGAATGGCTGGAACTGAGCTCACTGCCGGCGACAGCATCTGAATAAGTTCCCCTCAGATTGGATGTTTGCTGTTACTAATCCATCGGAAACATACAGAACAATGATGATTTTACCCGTTGGGGTGTGGAAAATGAAAACACAGGAGTTTTTACTGCTCTGAAGAAGCTCAAGCTAATTATCAAAGCGTTTATTCCACCAGCGCGAAGCTTGCTTGACTCCATACAAGCTGCGTTTGAGACGACTGACACTGTTAAGCCCTTCTTCATAGCTTTCGGGCTGCTTCATGAAGATTTCTTCTACACCGTCTCCAAAGAGCAACGCCGTTGACAGGCTAAACTGACACAGCGCCATGTTTTCTATACCTGCAATGGCCATCAACGATCGGAGCACTTCCAAACGTGCAACCAGGCTGGAAGTGTCTCCATAATCAATACCAGCTCGTTTAGCGCATCCCTTGATAGCCAATCCGCCAGGATTACGCTTGACCGGATAGATCCCCCTATTTCTGATGGGTATTTTTCCCAAAGGGAGTTTTCTCAATTCCCATCCATAGTTTTTGTGCATCAATAATTTCAGTTTCAATGACTCTTCACGATTCTCGCCTTGGATAGGTTCATTAAACGTCATAGCCTCATCTTCTATGAGAAGAAGTTCTGCAAAGTTGGATGTGGCGTAATCCTTTGGCGATTTCCTTTGTTTAGAGGAACGCCTGGGTGTTTTGAAGTTGTTCAGAGATGAAGAGAATGAACCCGAATCGACACTGGAAATGTCATCCGAACTACCCGATTATTTGTCTGGAATAGACTCGTTGACAAGTTTTTCGTCGTCAGGCTTCTCCTCAAAGGATTTTTCTGTGTTTACTCGGTTCTTCTTCACTTCAGCACTGTCGGCATCTTTCACGGGAGAGATGACCAATCTATGTTCTGGACCAGGAAGTGACGTCACAGACAATCAGAGACGAGTACGTCCCCCTTTCAGGTTCGTAAGGCGGTCCAACAGCTTTTTCAACTGGTCCAACAGGTTAGTGAAGCGGTCCAAGAGCTTTAACTACTGGTCCAACAGCTATTTGGACTGGTACCTTTGGACCGCTTCACGAACCTGTTGGATCAGTTGAAAAAGCTCGCCTCTGATTGGTTGTGACGTCACGACCTCGTTTCTGATTGGTCACTTCCTGGTCCAGAATATACATTGGTCTTCTACTGACGTGCCAGACAATTTTGTTACCATAAATTTCAACTTTCTCATAAAATATGACGACACGCGAAACAACAACACATCCGCTCCCGGGAATGTTAATCCGGTATCGTTCATAACCGTCATATCCGACCAGATAGCCAGCTGTTGCCTTTGGGACCATTAATGCGTGGATATTTGATCCGTGGTTTTTGACCAAACCAGAGTTCATAACGAGTCTAGTCCGCAGTTGGGGATTTACCTACTCGATTGAGGACATAGCCGGCAGTTGTGACGAGTTCTGCCCCAATTACTGCAGGAAATGGCATTATGGCCAAATGCAAAGTTGATTCCCATATAGTATTTCGTATCACTGGTTTTGCAATTTTTCTCTCCATCGAATGACATAGAAATCCAATATGCTGTTGCTGTTATTTACTCGAAACTCACAAGTGATAAAAATTTTATTTTAGCACTATTAGAAAGCTGAGAAAAAATCACTAAGGGGTTTGTTAACATTATTTTTTAATATCTTTGAAAATAAATTAACACCAGCGCATTTTCGAAAATGACACTTTTCGGTTTTTTACCATAATTAAGATTTTTGTATAAGCGCTACAACGTTAGATCTAAATTTGAATTTTAATTATTTCGAAATTTCGTTGCGAAGTTAGAAATTTGGGCACTTCTAGAAGTATAAGAATTTAGTTGTCCAAATAAATGATATTCTTGGTGT